CCTCCGGAAGTCCATTGGCAAAGACAGGGCTGCGTATCTACGGGAGGTTGCGCACCAAGCTGTCAGCAGTAGTGCCAAGTGTGTGACTGCCAAACTAAGGCCCCTTTTAGGCCCGCCTAAGCGTAGGCGCAAGGATGCCCAGACACTACCTGCAGTCCAGCTTGAAGATGGCAGCATTGCCGCCGACAGGGAGCAAGCAGAGGCAAGGTGGGTCCGGCATTTCAGCGCTATCGAGGCGGGTTGGCCAGAGGACCCTGAAACCATAGCAGCCGAGTGTGTCAACAGACAGAGAAACACTGACCTCGGCGCCTTTGCACTAGAGCTTGCTGATGTGCCAAACCGTACGCACATCGAGAGCGGGCTCCGCAACTCCCCTTGTGGTCGGGCAGCCGGCAAGGACAGGATACCCACAGATTTCTTGCACCACTTTGCAGCCAACGTTTCGCTTCCACTCTATCAGTTAGTTCTCAAGATGTCTTTCCGATGTGCTGAGCCGCTGCAGTGGAAAGGCGGAGAGGTACACCAGATCTGGAAACGTAAAGGCCCGTCCACCCAATGCGATTCTTTTCGTGCCATACTCGTCAGTTCTGCAGTAGGCAAGGCTGTGCATGGTGCCTTTCGGACCAAATGTGCTCCGCTACTCGACAGAGTAGCTGCACCACTGCAGGTCGGAGGTCGCCAGGGGTACCCTGTTCAAATTGCAGTGCATACTGCGCGCCTCTTTCAAGAGGCCACGCGCCACAGGCGACAGTCATCTGCGTTGATATTTGTTGACTTGCGTGAAGCTTTCCACAGGGTAGCTCGTCCGCTTGTCCATGGTGGTCATGTTGGACAGCGGCATCTCAACAGTATCCTTGATGCCCTTGGACTTGACAAAAGTGTGCTCCCACATCTCACTGCATATGTCCAAAATGAGTCGCGTATTCGCCAAGCCGGCGCGTCCAGCTGGACCTCGGCGATCATGCATGAGTTCGGTGAAAGTACGTGGTTCTCTTTCGGGCATGGAGAACACACTGCGGTTGTGACTTCAGGAACACGCCCAGGGGACAATCTTGCTGACCTTTTGTTTTCCTTTCTTTTCGCAAGCATCCTCCAACGCCTGCGGACGACATTCGAGGCCGAGGAAGTCAGTGTCCGGTTGCCGTGGCACGATTCTTGGCTCCGAGCTGCGCCTGGTGTTGACCCTGCTGACAGCCAAGACATCACACGTCCCATAGATGTGACTTGGATGGATGATCTCGCTCTCCTCGTCGTCGCAGATAGCGCGTCTGAACTGCTCAGCAAAGTTGTCAGAGTTGCGACTGCCACAGTTGAAGAATGCATCAAAGCATCGTTGCTCCCAAATCTTGCTGCGGGGAAAACAGAGGCTGTACTCAACTTGACTGGCAAGCAGTCGCGTCAGATCTCCTCACAGATTTTCCGGGGAACCGAGCCATCCCTTCCGCTACAGTCAACAGTGTGGCCTCAGGCTCGACTGCGTTTAGTTCCTAAGTACAAACACGTTGGGGGCATTATCCAGGCAGGTGGAGGACACCAGAAGGAGCTGAGATCTA